GACGGGTAGCGCAGCTGGTTGGCGGCGGCCGTGAAGCACCCATGAAGCGGCCCTCGGGGTCAGGGTCGACACGAGCTCCTCGACGAGCGAGACGCAGGCCATCGTCGCCCCGCGCCCGCGCCCGCCGCCGAGTCTTGGCCGCCGCCGCCGACGACGGGCACCGTGGCGCGTCCCTCGTCGAGGCTGCGCATGCCGGCGTAGAGGACGAGGGCGTTGACGAGGGGCAGGTTGTAGCGCGACTCGCCGCGGGCGGCGTCGACCTCGTGCGGGTTGGCGACCAGCAGGGCGTCCTTGAGCGTGGCGACAAAGGAGCGCGGCTCGCGGCTGGCCAGGTAGCGGTCGAGGGCCTGTCGGAATCCGGGGACCTGGGCAAAGGCGGCGACGTGGTCCGAGGCGAGGTGGGGGTGCTGCGACACCTCGGGCAGCAGCTCGATCCGGAGGTTGGGTGTGAAGGGGTCGGGGAGCCGGCGGTTGCGGGGGAATGCGCTGAGGACGAGGTTGCGGAGCTGAATGCACGATGGTGGTACAATGTCGCAGAGGCTGTGGTGGTAGTCGCAGAGGAACTCGGGGAAGTCGTGGAGCAGCACGAGGAAGATGCGGAGCGTGCCCTTGTAGAGCTGGCGCGACGTCTCCTGCAGCTCGGCGCTGCGCAGGAAGGGCGCCATGAAGCGGAGCAGCGACGCAAAGAGGCGGTGGAAGGCGCTCCACCCTTCGCGGCCGCTGGCGGCGAGCAGCTTGGGCATAAAGAGGCGGTGCGAGACCAGCGACATCCACGAAAACGTGAAGCCGGGGAAGAACGAGGGCTGGAGCGTGTTGAGCGTGTTGCTGATGGCGAGCAGCGTCTGGATGTAGGCGTTGCCCAGGCTCGACTCGGTCAGGTGGAGGTCGTGGAGCAGGCTGGAAAACAGGCGGAAGAAGGGCTTCTGCTGGAAGTGCGGGCCCAGCTCCTCGTGCGACTGGGCCAGCACCAGGACGACAATCGACAGGATCTTGGTGAGGTAGTGCACCTTGGCCTGCTCGTTGTTGGTGCCCGTCGGGTCGGCGTGGTACTTGATCATGAGCACCACCAGCTTGGAAAACGCGTCAATGGGGCAGAAGATGCCCGAGGCCAGCGAGCCGCCGACGGCCTTCTGCTTGATGTACGAGTCGACGCTGACCTCGGCGCAGACGCGGAAGAACATCGACGAGATCTCTTCGCCCTTGAGGATGCCCTGGCTCTGGAGCTGCGTGACGAAATCGATGAAGGACTTTTCCGAGCTCGGCGACTGCTGGAAGAGGCGCACCCACTCGGCGAAGCAGTAGGCGAGCTGCTCGCGCAGCGCCGTGTTGCCGACGTCGACCTTGCTCTTGAGCTGGCCGGCCTCGAGCTCGTCGAGGAACTCGGCGGCGGCGTCGGTGCCCTTGCCGCCCTCGACGGCGCGGTGGAGCGCCTCGACCGTGTTGGCCAGCTGCTGGCGCGTGGCGCACGCCGGTTCGCGCAGGCAGTCGAGGGCCAGGCCGGCGGCGAAATCGATGACGCTCGGGCGGAAGTCGCGCAGGATCAGCTTGGCCAGCTGCATGTCCTGCTCGGCCACGTTGATAAGGCCGGCGCGGATCAGGCACACGCTGACGGGCACGTTGAACTTGCGCTCGTCCTCGGCGTAGACGAGCCAGGCCGTCACCTCGCGCGCCGCCTTGATCGACACCTCGCACAGCCGCTCGAGGAGGATGACGTATACCTCGCGGCCGAGCTGGTTGTCGGCCTTGTAGAGCAGCTGCACCACCTTTTGCGAGAACGCCAGCGCCGTCTCGTCGCGGCCGATCGACTGGGCGGCCGTCAGCGGGATCTGACGGACGAGGGCGCGGATCTCGTGGTTCTGCGCCAGCGAGGCGAGCGTCTCGTCGTCCGACACCTGCGACAGCAGGCGCTCGAGCTCCGAGAGGCACTGCGAGAAGCGCTCAAGGCTCTGCTGCGCCGACATCGGGCCGACAGGCTGGGCCAACGCTGCGGCGGCGGCGGCAGCGGCGGCGGTGGCGTCATCGGCACCGGCGGCACCGGCACCTCCGGCACTGCTAGAGTCCGGGTAGCCCGCGTCGGATCGACCCGACAGGGCCGAGACGTGGACCGAGGCCGGGGTGCCGCGGTCGCCGCCGTCGACGCTGCTGGCCGTGGCGGGCGCGGGCGACATGCGCGACGGGCGGCCAAAGTCGTCGTAGACGCGCAGCTGGGCCGGCTGCAGGCCCTCGGGGCGCAGGCGCAGGAGGTCCGGCAG